CATTAGAACTGTTTTGGTTAACATTACTACTTTTTTTGTTAACATTATCACTATTTTGGTTAAGAGTGCCATTTTTTTTTGTTAACATTACCACTATTTTTGTTAAAAGTATCACTTTTAATAATAATTTTAATTCTTTTGGATCATTTCATTTGGGACCCAAAAATTCATTAGTGACCCTGGTTCGATCTCCACTAATTTGGGTGTCATCCCAGCTAGCTTCATCAGCCCTTGCAACAATGGCTTCACTACTGTAAACACATTCATCATCTCTCTCTCGAATTATTTAGTTTTGTTCGACAAAGATGAAATCATCCGGGATCTGGTGTATCTGGGTGTGTGTCCTATCTGAATATAACAAGGGCATGTTTGTTTTAAGTATTCTTGATATTAAGAAATATAGGGGTCGGTAACATTTTTGTTTTTGTGTTTTCAAAAAAATCAAAAACATGTGTCTTTATTTTGTGATAAACAATGAAATAAAAAATATGTTTGAGAATCATTTTTGTCTATCAAATTATGAAAATAAAATATATATATATATATATATATATATATATATATATATATATATATATATATATATATATATATATATATATATATTTGTAACTATTTCAGGTTTTATCCTAACTGTGTTTGGTATCTATTTGGCAATTCAATCCCAAATGACAATTCAATAATCCCAAATGACAATGCAATCAATTTCAAATGACAATTTAATCCCAAATGATAATTCAATCAATCATAAATGACAATTCAATAATTCCAAATAAAAATTCAATTAATATCAAATGAAAATTAATCTCAAACACAACACACACAGAACATAATACACACACACATACACAGAATGAACACAACAAACACACACAGACTCAACACAACACACACACACACACACACACGCACAGATCTGTGTACATATGCACACATCTTCTGGGTTGCACCAAAAACGAGAGCGAAACAGAGAGAGAGCATCGTCTTGTTTTTGTTTGTCTGAGGGATCGATCTTCGTCTAAGTTCTTCATCGTCTAAGAGAGAGAGGAGATCAGAGAGTGAAGAAAAAAAAAGAAAAAAGAAAAAAGAAACCCTTCAAAGGATTTTTATAGTAAACACAAAAAAATCTTCTTTTTATTGCTAATGGGATTTGCGTAGGGGATTTCATTAAATAAGGCTGTGAAGCCTGCGTGTTTCTAGAAAACAAGGGTGTGTTAGGTTTGTATTTTGAAAATAGTTTTTTGTTCTCAAAACACAAAATTTTTTGAGATACTGTTTGGACAGTAATTTTTTTAAAAAAAGTGAAAATTAAGAACAAAAAATAGAGAACATTATTTAGATATTTTTTGAGTTTTTAAGCCAAAAATAAAAAACAAGGGAAACAATCTTATTCTTTATTAAGATCTCTCCATCAAATCCCTTTAGCAGTAAAATTGGCCATTTTGTTTTGTTGCCTTCCTCTCTCCTTGACTTTCTCTCTCTCTCCACTAGGCGAAATCAATGTCTTCTACTTCACTCCAGCGACCGGAGAGCTTCGACGACTGAAAGACTAAGCGTCTTCTACATCACCGGCGTAGCTCTGGCAAATTCCCAGGCATCTTCTATCTCTCTCACACAACCCACAGGTGTCTTCTATCTTTCTCACGCAACCCATCTCCTCTCTCTCTCTTTGCAACAGATCTGTATAGATCTGCGATGGTTAAATGTGTGTGTGTGTGTGTGTGATTGTTGTACGTGTGGGTGTGTGTGTATGTTTGTGCTGTGTGAGAAGACAACGGAGAGGAGAGAGATGGTGTGAGAAGATAATGGAGAGATAGAGCTGCTGTGTGAAGATAATGGAGAGAAGAGAGAAAAAGAGTTATTGCGTTCTGGGCACGACTCCTCTGCTGCTAGGCTTCTGTTCAATTAAAAACGGTGTCGTTTCATTGCATGGACCCACAAAATTGGCATACCTGCATCGAAACAACACCGCTCCATGATAAACTCTTCCAACGACGCCGTTAGCAATCCTTCACAGCAATAAACTATTCGAAAGCCTCTCGGCCTGTTTCCCACCATAAACAAATGTTTTAGTTTTACCTAACCCTCCAATGTATTCTCTCGCCCCTCAAATCTGTACAACTTAGAGTCAATAATCCATAAACTCAAACACCGGGAATCAAAATCTATTTGCATCATCCAAATCTGGGACAAAAAGGAATGGATGGAGAATGTGACTTACTGTAATAAAAAATTATTGCCCTAAACTTTTAAAAATTTTAGAGTTTTGAGTTTGAAATTGAACAATCAAACCTAGGTATTCATATTTAAAAAAAATAAAAATGAACAGAAGTTGACCACTGCCGGCATTGGAATGTGAGCAGCGAGCTATCGAAGTTTCAATAGCATGGGTGGAAGGCGAAGTTTTGGATCAGAATTTTTGTGGGAAGACGAAGATAGCATATGGAGCGATTTGTTAATTAAAGGCAAATTTTAGTTTCATCCCTTCTAATTTATCATATTTTTAACCCATCTAGCTTATCATATTTTTAAGAACATGTCATCTATTATTTAAACGTCACTGATATCCATTCTAATTTATATTTAAATATCATTAACACCCCCTTGCTGTTAAATCACTATTTTTAACAAAAAAAAATTTATCTAAAATATCAAAATTTCCCCTACATAAATCCAAAAATATTTCTATATAAAATTCGAGTCTATTAAAATTTATTTTTCTACATATTAAAATTCTTCCAGATTAAAATTTATTTTTCTTCATATTAAAATTTAAGTCGGTTAAAATTTAATTCAAGCTGATTAAATATTATTTTTTTTACATATTAAAATTTGATACTATTAAAAACATTTTTAACGTATTAAAATTTGAACCGATTTGAGCTCCAGTTGAAAAAAAAAATAATATTAAAAGAACTGATAGCTTCAATTAAAATTTATTTTGAATTGATTAAATTTATATTTTTTTACTTATTAAAATTCCTGTCAATTAAAATTCAAATCAAGTTGATTAAATTTTTTTATGTATTAAAATTTGAGTTAATTAAAATTTTTATTTTTTTATGTATCAAAATTTTGACCAATTAAAATTAAGTGCAAGTTGATTAAAATTTGATTCAAACCAATTAAAAATCATTTTTAATCGGCTCAAATAGAATTTTAATCAACTTAAATTTTAATACATAAAAAAAATATAATTTTTAGTCGACTTAAATTTTAATTAATTTAAATCAAATTTTAATCAACCCAAATTTTAATATATATAAAAATTTAGAAAATAGAGGAGTCTCATTGAAATATGCCTATCTAGAGGGGCGTAGATGAATTTTTTGCTAAAATATATTATAGGCAATTTAGTAAAACTATATTATAGTTAACACCTCTAATATAACTAGAGGTGTCAATAAAAATTTTAAAAATAAAGAAGGTGTCCTTAAATATATGATAAATTAGAATGAATGTGACTGAAATTTTTTCATATAATTTAATAGACTAAGTGGTTTTCAAATAGTTCATTGTTGTGAAGGGTTGCAAACGACGTCGTTGGAAGAGTTTAGCATGGAGCGTTGTCGTTTGGATGCTGGCAAGCCAATTTTATGGGTCCATGCTGTGGAACGGTACCCTTTTTTTATTAACAGCACACAATGCTGTTAGAAGCCTAACCGCAAAGTAGCCTCGTGTGAATCCAGAACACGTTACTGCCTGGTTGGAGAGGGAAAAGATTTTATGGTGAAAATTTTTTTTTTTTTGGGGTACGAAGTAATAAGTTAAAAATTAGATTTATGGATCACTGTTTAAACATATTTTACTATTTTCTTTATTTTAAAATTATTTTTAAAACCATGTAACCAAACAAGTTTTGTAGTACAAAAATATCAAAAAAATATATTTAAAACTCTTTTCTAAAATTATTTTCGAATACTATTTAGAAATGTAAACCAAACTGACCCCATGTTTCCTAGTGCATCTTTTTTTTTTGTCCCTTGTTTTTGGGCTGTGTTTCGGAAACAACTTTTTTTTTTATGTAAAATAGAAACACAAATTGAAACATATTTTTGCTTTTGTTTTTCTTAAAAAATGAAAACAAAAACACAAAATACGAAACAAAACAGTCAATCAAACAACCCCGTATTGTATAATGCTTTTACACAATAATTGGTATAATTCATGGTATGGCATTCCATATCCTAAAAATTCCAAATAATGTAAAAAATTTACATAAAGAATCTAATGTTGTGAATTGGTGACACTATAAAAAAAATTAAAAAAAAACAATGATACCGTATGTTTAAACATAATAAAAGGAAAAAATTCAATATATTTAAAAAAAAAAAAATTGGTGACACCGTATGCTTAAACATAATATAAGAAAAAAAATTTAAAATAAATTTTAAAAAATTATAAAAAAAAATCGGTGACACCGTACGTTTAAACATAATACAAAGAAAAAATTCAAAATAATTTTTTTTTTAAATTAAAAAAAAAAAAAAACTATGAGATCACACACTTAAACTTAATATAAGAATGTAAGCTTTACACATGAGAGTATTTGTGTCATTTTTCATGCTTATATCGTCGGTGGATTTATACGAGCAAATAATACCACTTGGTAGGCGATATTCATTAAAGCCAAACAAGGGTTAAAGGCTGCTGAGGTCGGTGTTGCAATCCGAAAAATAGTATTGCAAATAAAATGTCAACCAAGCAAGGTAATAAGCGAGACCCAGATATTATTTCTTGCTATTACAAACTTAAACACATTCACCATATCTCTCTCTCTCTCTCTCTCATATTTATTCAGTTTTGTTCGATAAAGATGAAATCATCTGGGATCTGGTGTATGCCCCACCTGAATATATCAAGTTTTTGATTGTCCTGAGCTGGCTATCATTGACTTTATCCACCTTACAAACAACTGCGACATTTTAATAAACAGTTGGTAGGCATTGCGTCCTTATATTTTCATCTTCTCTCCCATTTTCACATTCTGGTTCCGTGTCAGTTATTTCTTTGAGACCCATTATAGACGATAACTTTATACATTGAGTACGATCATTAGATCAATAAATTTGTCAATCTGTCTTACATTTTGAGTTCCGACCAAGAACTGGTTGAACTTTGCATTACAAAAGAATGAACATGCAAGAAGTCAGTTCATTTTCTGGAGCCTTTCTCCATCTAAGGATGCAAGAATTCTCTTGAGGTGGCGAGTGTACATGAAAGGCCGCTCCAGCCCAACAAGATGCCCTGCCTTTTCAATATAGTGCAAGGTGGATTTGCCTCCCAATTGCCTGTGATCATGTTTGAAAACGTCTAATTAGCGTAAGTTATATTTTAGTGCTGATAGTCTATTTGGTCCTTCAGGTAAGTTCCTTTTGTCAGTTCAATTTCAACGTGTCAATTTTATCAACTTAATCTCGAAAATTTTTTAATTCACGTTTAAATTGTCCCTACACAGGCGAATCGCTAATTTTTTTAACAGAAATGATAAAATATCATTCTTTCAGATGATATTACATGATTATTTTCGTCAAAAATTTAACAATTCGTCTGTTTATGAACTATTTGAACACGAATTGAATATTATAACAATTAAATTGAAAAAAATTAAAAAAATTAGGATTAAATTAACAAAACGAGCATACTTTAGGAATCAAATTATTACCATGTGATTTTGATGAGAAATAAATTAGCTTTTGATCAGCCTGTCATCGTATTGAATGATTAAAGAGGGTGAAAAATTGATCTAATAATGGTGAGGTAGGATAATATATTATATAGCATAAATTATATTTTATTTTAATGTGAATTAACCAAGTTGCTTATCACTTTTTTATTTGAAAATAAGAATATAACCCACGTTAATTTATGAAACAAATATAAAATCATATGGTTGATCGGGCCTATATTAGAAGAGATTCAAATCCGGTTCAATCCCAATTTTTTCCCATTATCTTTTCTTTTGATACTTGAACCGTATATTTTCAAAGCGTATAATTTCAGTGCATAACCACGAAAACACTATATGCATATTTTTCAGATATTGAAAATGATAGGCAACTTGAACAAACGATAATGAAATAAAACACATTTGAAGTAATCATATATCTAAAATGAAAATTGACTTACTCTTTTATGTTATGGGCTACTTCCAAGTCGAAAAGCTTGTCATTGTCTCCCCACAGTAGATGAATCCTCTGCAAAAACAAAATGCAAATAAGAAAGTAACCAACGAGATGACACTAAATTATAACCTTTGAATATAAGTAGACAATTGAATCTATAAAGGGGAGATGGATATACATCTATAATGATTCTCACACGAACGTGTTATACTTGGAATAGGTTATGATCGAACCAATATTAGAAGGGATTTAAATTCGATTCAATCCCACTTCAAAAAAACCTTTACCAACACAATTTGACAATGGCGTATATCATTTCAATCAACCAAAATGTCTAGGGTTAGAAGTGTGGTCCAAAATTTCAGCTAGATATTGACATATACACCAAATTTAGGTGACAATTTTTTAGGTGCAGCGAATCTGGGTAAGGCTATGGTGCAAAACCTCCGTCAACTTCAATAATTCATTTTGAATTGAATGACCTTACATTTATTGATCATCAAAATAATACACGTGACACGTTTTTATTAAATAAAAAGTGGGATATGCACTTCCTCCCTACCATAATGAGACGAGGGGAACCTTCTATCTTCCTCCCACAGGTCCAAGTCTTTGGTTGCGGAACAATCGGTTTTGTTGCTTTACTAAGGAGTAGAAAAGTCAAATATGCTGCAAACTAATTTTAAGGTAACCGAAGTGATAAGAGAGATGAGATCAAAATTCAAACGTTTTAAATTTAAATTTTGAAAATCTTTTTAAGGTTAAGTTACGAGGGAATTATTATCTTTGGCCGAATTGAAGAAAAATTAATCGAAATGGTCATAAACTAAGTTAGACACTCTAGAACACTGAACAAAGAAAAAAAAAACACTGCAAACCTGGGGGTGCGTAGTAGCAGTTGCATCTTTATCACTGTCGATGAAAGCCTCTAGTAGTTCAGTTCTCTCCTTTCTGTTGATGAACATAACCTGTCATGGGTCAATCAATAAGCAAGATTCATAATTGACATTGACATTAGGAATTTCCATAAGTAATGTTACTTTCCGAATCAAATCTAATTGGTTTCTTTTCATTCATTCCTTGCGAGATTGTTGTACAAATAAGCACTATGATGTTTTTATTTATTTAACTTAGATTTGACTTGAGTTAATTCAGTCCGTCTAATTAACAAATTGAACACAAACTTTTATTCGAATTTAAACTCGACTTCAAATTCTTATTCAAAATAACATCCGAGTAGTTTATATCCAAATCGATAACAAATTACTCATTACTTCAGTTCATTGACTGTTAATATTGTTACTCTAGGGTGCAAGGAAGTGTGTAAGTACCTCCAGAAAGTTTCTGTAAAGAAAATCAGGAAGCCATGGCAATTTGTGAGTACCCACTGTAAGCATAGCTTTCACACCCTCAACGGTCTCTGGCAACAAAAGTTCCGACCACTGTGAGAACCCAATCTTCTGCAGCGAAGCACGACTAATGGACTCAGTAAGTTCCACAACCGTGGAGGAAACCACCAAAGACTCGACCAAATCTGGGTCCAACTTGGCCAGCTTAAACCCAATTATACCTCCATAGCTAAAACCGACCAGTGTACAACTCTCCACTCCTAACTTCCTCAAACCCTTGGCCAAACACTCTGCCTGGAAGACGGTTGACCGGTGGTGGCTGTCGGTGGTGGAGCCGCCGAAGAAGAGGAGGTCCGGCACGTAGACTGCGTACCTGCCGGTTAAAGCCAATACTTGGAATAGCCATGTTATAACACCGTCTCCGAAGAAGCCATGAACGAGTACCACCGCAGGCTTGTTGGTTTTGTGATTGGTATGGTTTTGATTTTGATTTTGATTCCTTTGGATCGTTTCATTTGGGACCCAGAAATTCATTAATGTCCCTGGTTCGATCTCCACTAATTTGGGTGTCATCCCAGCTAGCTTCATCAGCCCTTGCAACAATGGCTTCGCTACTGTAAACACATTCACCATCTCTCTCTCTCTCTCTCTATCTCTCGAATATTTATTTAGTTATGTTCGACAAAGATGAAATCATCCGGGATCTGGTGTATCTGGGTGTGTGCCCTAACTGAATATATCAAGTTTTTGATTGACCTGAGCTGTCCACCTTAATAACAGCTGCGAGATTTTAACAAACAGTTGGTAGACATTGCGTCCTTAAATTTTCATCTTCTCTCCCATTTTCACATTCTGGTTCCGTGCCAGGAATATTCTTCTTTTCCCATTGGGAAAAACCGTGCGGTGAAAACAGCACCTAAGAACAGCATAATTGTATCAAATAGGCGGGAGGGTCTTCTTCTCATACAGAACTCTACAGACCCTTGGCGTTTGGGATTTCCAACCGATCACCATCTTATTATTATGTTGACATAATGTCACGATAAGAAATTAAATAAAAATAACATGATATAATTGTGATATCTAATATTTTTTCCTGAGGATGGCCTGTAGTTAAAGTTTGTTTGTGATCATTAGTCTTAAAAAACAAAATAAATTAAAATAATAAAATTTAATTTTATATTTTTTATATGTATTGTGTTCTAAATAGTGAAACAAATACAATATTAGAAAATAATTTTTTATTATCACAATTAGACCATAATTAAAAGAAAAATAGAGGTAGAAGTTGTCCGGGAATTCCTTGAGGACCACCAACTAGAAGACACATGGTGGAGGCTAGTCGGAGCCATGCTTAACACGTTGTGCCAATTAGTCCAAGTTACCGACATCCAACATGACCACCACCAGAACACATGCCAAACCCTCTGGGGGCTGGTTGATAGGCACGTGGAGCAGGCGGAGTCAAAAAGTCATGCGAGAGTGGCCACAAATATTTCAACAAATTAAATCTTTTTTTTTATAATTAATATAAATAGGACAATAATTTATATTTAATTATATTCTATTTAATACTTAAAAGTTTATTAAATCCAATATACCAAAATTTCGTAAGCTTAGTATATATAAACGACACTAAATTTTTTTTACAAAATATAGGCTAATTAAAATTGACTCCGATAAATTTTTACACTTTGAAACCGTTGCATAACAACTTTATTATTCTTTATATGCATCATAATTTTATCACTTTGGTCTTTATATACATAACATGTCCAAAATATATCAAAAAAATTCATATTTATTTGATATAAGTGTGTACACTAATTGATGTGCCAAAAAAATAGAATGTGCATTATTAAAAATATTAAAGAAATACTTGAAATACATATCGGTAATGTTAAGGAAAACAAATTGAGGATAGACATGTGCCCCTCGGGCATATGCTGGCTCCGACCATGCTCTCTACCAAACTCATCAATTGTGCAAGGAAAAACAAAATACCCAAACAATCGAGGAAGGAGCTTTATTTTGTTTCTTCTGGTTGGGCAGTTAGGAATGAGTGAGACAAAGAGAAAAAAAAATAACTAATAAGATAGGTGTTACTGATGTCTGTTAAGTGGGCCAAAATTTTGTTTTTTAATGGTGGGCCAAAAATTTTGTTTTTTTAATAGGTTTGGGTAGATTGTGATAGGTCAAAAAATTAATTTTTTAATTAGGTTTGGTAGATAGTGGTGGGTTCAAATTTTTTTTGTTTTAAATAGATTTAATTTTTAAATTCTTTTGGGCCAAACATTTTTATCTTGGATTTTAGATGGGTACAAATAATATTATATATATATATATATATATATATATATATAACTAATAAAAAATAATTTTTTTTTGGGGGGGGGCAGTTGTCCACCCTGCCCCATGCCTCCCTCCGCCCTTGATGTGGAGCTTGACAAAATGAGTTTGGAGAAAATAGTTTAAATGATCTTTAAATTTCATGTTTGAATTGAAAATTTAATTTTCGATTTTCAAACTTGTCTTAAATATTAAATTCATGATCATGAGTTTCGTCAAACTTAGGGGGTGAGTTTGGAAAGATGAGTTTAGGGGTTAAGGATGCAAAAAATAATTGTACCCTTTAACATGAGTATGAATTGGATTGATCGATGGTAAAATAGTTATTTATATGACAAATAATTATTAATAATTATAATATATCCGTGAATTCTGCATGTGTATGTATTGCATACTAAACATGAGTATGAACCAAATTCACTGTGAAATTTCATCTTTGTAAATAGTGATTTGAGTTTGAAAGAATTTGAAAAAATTAATCTAAACCCTCTCCAAAATCTATCCACACAAACCCCTGGGACCCCAACAAAATGAGAGAGTATATGTGTATATCTTATCTTGATTAGATCTTATTTTTTCGATTATTAATTTGAAGTTGTTGCACTATTAACTATTCAAATTACTAATTTTTTGCACTAATTATTAAATTTTAATTTTTTTTGAAATTTTATAGTTCAAGATACTATTTGAAATATTTAATGGTGCAATGTGTTTAAATAAATAGTTGAGGGATAAAGCAAAATGAAGATCACCATTTAAGAATAACTTGAGGGGTCATATAAAGTAAAGAATATAGTTTTGGGGTTAAAATATAATTTTGATATTAAGAAGATCAATTTTAGAGATATAAAATATAATTCTAAAAAGTTAAGGGGCCCCGAAACCTTGGCTTTGTAAGGGTCGCGGTGGTGATGACAATGAAAACAATGGTCTTAAGATGGCATTGACGATAAAAGTTGTTCAAATTTTTGATTAGCAGTAATTTTTTATCTTATCTGATTCTATTGAACGGTTAGCTAAAAATATTGGGTAGGAATGCGAAAAAAATTTTGGTCTTTCGATAAATCGAGTAAAAATACGAAATAATCATTAATTTTCATATTAATGGCTATATATATATATATATTTCGCATATTATATATATATAATTCAGGATCCATAATCCAAAAGAAAAGCTATTAAACAATTTTTAGAGATAAATCCAGAAGAAAAAAGAGACCTAATTTGTCTCAACCATATTCATAAAAGAAATCCTTAATAAAAATGAAAAAGACATGAGTGATAGCCCCTCTCTACATAAAATAAGCTTGGCCTACTACGATTCAAAATATAAAGATAGAAATCAATGAAGTCAAAGAAGACATAAAAGTCTTAAAGTCTAAATTACTAACTTTTGAAAAAAATTTCATCTAGAGAAAGCAACATACAAGATGATATAGCATCACCATCACTATCTATCTTTGATGATAAGCCATCACCAAATGACAAAATAAATACTTAAGGAAAAAACAACTTATCAAAAATGGTATGTGTTAAATTATTTTAGTTATAAATTATGAATTTACTATCGAAACTATTGTTCTAATTGATAGTGGAACTGATATGAACTGCATAAAGGTTGGATTAATTCCAACTAAATATTTTGAATAAAACTAATCAGTTAGTCAGTGTTTCTGATGGGTCAAAATTAAATATAAATTTTAAACTCTCTAATATTTTTGTATGTAATCAAGGAATTTGTATTCCTACAACTTTTATGCTCATTGATAATTTAAATCAATTGGTGATTTTGAGAACACCATTTTTATCTTTAATTGAACCTATAGAAAGAATTGATTCGAAAGGTATTTTGACTACCATAAATGGTCAGCAAATATTATTTGAGTTTATAACTCCACCTCAAATAGAATTGATAAATCAAATAAAAGAAAATCAATTAAATTTTCCATCCTATTCTAACATATTAAAAAAGTGATGTTTATTTTGCAGGACAAGACCAAGATGTTACAGAAATGAGTCTTAACCCAGATTCATTCTCTCTAGATCTTATTACCAAATCACTAAAACTTCTTGACTGTTTTTGTGATTATGCAGGAGAAGATGTTTATAGCTTTTCCTCCATATAGAGTACTAATAATTGCAACACTTTGATATCTCTATTTGCAATGCTATGGAAGATCAATTAATTGATCATATATCTATCTTTTTATTAATAATTGCAAGACGTCAAAAAGAATTTTTAAAAGCAGGTTTAAAGTTCTATCTTATTCTTAAAAGTAATGACTGACATTATGATTGACACTATACAGTGGCTGGAGACTACAGTCCCAAAAGAATTTTGTCAAAACATGGTAAATAAACTTGGTGGTATAACAGTTCGAACCCAAGTTTTTGCATATAAAGATGCATATTTTTCTAATGACTATAAAGATGCTTTTTATGCATATAGAAGTGCATATTATTTTAATCCATATAAAAATTATCATTATTTTAATACATATAAAAATGCTTATTATCCTCCACTCTCTATAAAGACATTATCACATAAATGTGATATGAATGATAATCAGTCACAACTTAAGTTGTCACCCCTTTGTCAAATAAAATTGACAATAACAAAAAACTGTCTGAAAATAAATCTCTTTTTATACCTAAATATTTGACATTGTCTCCATATATGGAGCTTAATATTTTTCTTGAAAGGATATATCCTTCTAACATTAATGACCCTAGACAAATCAGGGAATATTTAATCCAATTTGAGAAAGATTATCTGCTTGAGTTTAAAAATAAAATTATAGCGGAATGTCTTAAAAACATAGATAAAAGAGAAGATAAATCTTTAACAGATAAAACTTCATCTTCTACATCAATCGTTCCCTGTACTAGTATAAATACTAGAACTAATTTAAATCCTATTTGAAATTCTTAAAAAATTAATTAAAAAAGAAAAAAACCCCACTTAAATCCTGCGCAGCTTAAAGGCTCAGTTGACAGTTGTACAAAATATCTTCATTATGGATTCAACAAAGGAACAGTTCAGTTTCAACGTTTTAATAGTAAAACTCGATTGTAAACATTAAATGTGTCAATATTATAGATCTTCT